TCTTTATCACATACACCATAGATGCATTGGTTCTTGTCTTATATATCTTTGATATTACCTACATGTATATTGAGTGAAATTATCGTTAAACAGAATAATGTTTCAACACTACTGTAAAATCTGTATTAGAATCCGCATCCCTAATGAAAGTCACACCCAATATTTTTGAACAATTGAGAACCAAAAAATCACCATTCTTCATATGTGTAGATGCTCTAATAGAAACCACATCCTCTCTATTGCATTGTACCATTTTAATAGAAGCCACAGTTTCTAATGGAGATTTAAACACTACTTGATAAACCTGCATTTGATTGGGTTTCAGATCATGAATAAAATTAAGCAATAGTGTCCCATGATTCCATGATGCTTTTTCTTTAAAGTTACACCGCAAGACAATTCATAAAGTTTATAATTGGGCTGGACTGTTCATGAAATTTCTTTATTCACTCACCCTATCCAAAGTACATATACAATGTACATAGCATGCAGTAATTTAGAATGAAGGCAAATCTTTGTGAATCCATGTTGCATCACTATTCATAACTAAAGAAAATTCTGACAATAACTGGGAAGATGATACAATCAGAAAAACTGATATCATTGAATATTGGTCATTAACATTAATTTTTTGGCTATTTACATAAATTCAGACAATTATATATTTAATAGTACAAGTTGACACAAGATTCTAGTGCTACTGGTAGTATAGCTTAAGACATGCTCTTTTAGTGCAACATTATTCTACTTAAAACAGACAGACTTTCATATATAGTTTACTTAACAAGCTTTATTTTATCATGTGAGTATCACATAGCTGTACTCCATAATACCTAAGTAAGGACAGTTGTAATTCACAGTGTTCCATGACTGCCATCATATCTCCTGCCTGGACTAAAATAGTACAATATGCAAATTGTATTATTTGAAAACTTGTATTAATTAACCTAATATTATCATAAATTATGCACTATTAAAAATATTGCCATTTTTAGTCTAGGATAATGGAGGTACATGTACATCAACCACGTGTGACCATGTCTCCCTGTTATGAAAGGTACACAATTACTACAAATTAGGATTGTTTTATTTATGTGATGTAACATTTTTCTGTGTGATGGAATAGTCCATCTATGTGATGCAACATTCCATCTACTCTAAAATAGTTTATTTTTGCTATTTTCGCTGAAGGAAAGATTCAGTGAAAATAACATCCATTGAATATACCTTTTTTTCCTATATTTTACATTCAACTCACCAAAAATCAGTGAAAATAAATTCCTGACTGAACACGCAAAACGTCTTTTCCACGATGATTAATTCCAGCTAAAAGTATTTTACAGTATATGGCACCTTGTAAATTTCCACACTATACACATATCATTTCTGGTTACTTTCTTCAAATGATAATTCTATTTTATTTTCAAAATTATTATTATAGAAGATAATACAAATTATGACATTTACAATTTTTTACCAATATTTTTAGAAATATTTGTTATTACACAATTAGGATAAGAACGGGAAGCCATAGTCATATCAAATTCATTAGTTTTAAATTTTATAGTATGTGCTCAGTCTAGTTTTTAATATATTTTTTTGCCTTTCAGTCTACATTATTTAATATGCATGTATCCCACACATATGTTGCTGACAGAAATCTTAAACAACTAGCCTTGTAGTCATAGAACCATTCTTATGTATTATGTTGTAGTATGTTTGGATTCACAGCTTATTGCAATTTTTTTTTACTAAGGATAGTATTTTGTGCATGATTCTTAAAATTGTCTAATGTCCTGTCTGTGCAAAGTGTCAACTAAAATTAATGAGTCACCAATGTATGCAGGTACAACTGTATCCTCCGTACATTATAGCCATGAGAGGGAAGAAGATGTAGTGTGTCTACATGAATCTGATTAGCCACTAAGTATTAAAATGGTACTGTATCTCATTAGAGGATTCATGAAGAAAACCATATGTTTGTCAGCATGCTTAGAATTCTTCAGAGAACACTGGACGAAATATATTGAGTTCTAATAAACCATATTTTCCAACATTTCGGTTGTATATACAATTTCTCTCAACATCTCCAAAGAAAATATAAAAAAAATTATATCTAAAACAGGTGTTAAACAGGATATTTAATGTGTCGCCTTGTAAAATAGAGAGCAGTTAACACACAAACCCTGTTCTTCTAAATTATACATATCTCAATCCATAAGCAAACAGCTATTACATGATTTGCTCATAAGGTGATGCATATTGTTATTAATAATATAGGTTCTTGTCTAAAAGATGTCAAACTGGGGTGATAAATCATATTGAGTACATTATGGTTAATAATTTAATGGGAAATTCCAAGATTGATTGGTTAATTACAAGATGCATTCGTTCTGCAGGGGGATCAATGGTTTTCAAAGTTGTGTGGAATTACATTGTTTTTACAATACAGTTTTGATGTGTTGATTTTGATGTGTTGATCATAGATGTGTTGATTTTGATGTGTTGACCATAGATTTTTAGGTTATACACACTATTAAATAAAAGAGAAACAAATATGTTTTTTGTTGCATAATTATTATTTAGACTTGAATCATTAACTTTTTGAAGTTTGCCTCCAGTATGAAATATTTTTCATGGAGAGAAATTGTCTGTAAACATGCAAAAATGGGCTTTTTCGAACTATCTTCATAGGAATTCATGTTTTAATGAAAAATAAATAGTATTCAGCAAAATTTCTCAATGATTTGGAGCAACCGTAAGTAGACATCTAATGTACATATAATTTTATCCCTATATGTATTTTAACAACATTTTGAGTTAGGATACATTTTTACAAAGAGTAATTTAAATAGTTCACCATTTTTATGGATGTTTGACACATATACATGTATGTGTAAAGAGAAGTTTTTTTTTTATAAATTAAAAATTTATTTGGACTTCGTTTGTTTGTCCTTCCATCTGTTCACAGATTGATTTCATTGAATTGTCGTACATGGCAATGTCGTATAGTTAGAATGTGCACTTTGAAATTTTATTTTGATTCATCCACGTTAACTAGGTTTTTGGGCGAAAAATGGTAATTTGTTGGTCTTAAACAATGTACTGATAACAGTTCTCTCTGGCACATGGCAATGCATTGAGAAATTTTATTCAAAATTGGTTGAAATATAGATTATAATAGTCAAAGAATACATAATCTAGTAGTAACATTTTATGGTGATCCATGCACTTTTGGAAAGTATGTTAGGTACATTATGGTAATTTTTATTCAAAAATGGTGATGAAATGATGTTTTCTTTGGTTATCTTTGGTTATATGTGGAGTAATTTTGTTTGCTGTAATATCAATCAAGTTAAGTGCATATAGTAAACATAACTATAATTGATCTTATGTACATGCAGGGTTATGACAGGTTATGGTTTGTTTGTCTAGAAACTGTCAACTATATAGCATAAAGCCATCTCATAAAAGTAGAAATTTAAATATAACTGTTTCACTGCTTTTTTTTTACCTTGCCCGTACCATCAAAGATGGAAGGGAAAGGTATATTAAGGGAAAAATTTTGTTCGGCGTTGTCGTCGTCATCATGTCGTCGTCGTTAATACTTGTTATTGTGTGCATAATAACTTTACTAATTCTATTCCAAACTTCATCAAACTTAGTCACCTTATTCATCAGTATAAAGTCTTCCCTGAGTTTGAACAACAGATGTCCTGTATGAAAGTATCATGCAAAAATTGATATTGATAAATTGATAAAAATCTGATAAAATATTTTGACTGTTTCTACTTGACTAATCACTGGTGATACACATCAAAGGTCACTGATCTCAGTGGAAATATGCATTGTTCTATGTGTTCAATGAAGCAAATCATTTATCTTGTAATAATATCCTTGGTAATGCATCCCCCAAATCCCATGGGAATACTATACTGGGTTTCAAACCCAACTCATGGAGAGATTTTTTTGCACAGTCTGATACACATTTGCAAACCTACCAATAAAATCTTTACAGAAAACAAGATGTCAGAAAATCAATATAAGCACTCCTATGAACTGGGTGCCAAACTTTGATCAAGATCTGAAGCTAATAGAAAATCTGTTTAGTTCAAAGTTATCAAATCAAAAACAATACATAAAGAGCAAAACGTTGCATCCACATTTTGAAAAGAAAATTGTACTAAAATAAATGTATTCTGTATTTGACAAACAGTTCATTCGACAAATGAAAACTCACAAGAATATGTTTCAGCTATTAGAACAGAATGATAGAGTTTTTATAATAATAGTTGAAAACATACTTCAAAAACAAAGATTGCAGTGGTTGGATATGTAGATTCTCAGGAGGCACCAGTACTGTTGACTTCCCCCTTCACTGGACACCAACTAACTATTTAAGTTGATTTGCATACAAAGCAGAGCTTGCAACATGATAACTATTCATAAAGGGTGTTTTTTTTTTACTTTTCATATAATACACAATGAGGCAGTTCATATTTGTCTCAGTGAATCATAAATTTTTGACAGACTAAAATATTCTGTTCTCTTGCATGTTTTATGAATCAATTCACGTCTAAATGCAGCACTTTTTTTCTGCGATGAGGCATTTGTTTTTATACTAAAATATCTGAATTACTTTGAATAAAGCTGGAAATTATGTCTCTTAAAATAATTAAACAATTAAGGCACTAATTTTTTTGTAAGATATTTACATTTTTTAAGGACATTCGGTAGACTGATTCCCCAAAACTTTTGTATTCAAAATTAATTATGACAATGCATATTTATATTGAAACAAACTATGATAAAGGGAATTATATTATATAACAAAGGGCAAGGTCACCAGAGTTCAACTATGTTAAATTTGACTGCCATGATACAGTGTATATGAGATAAAATTATATTTCCATGCATACTTTATAGTAAACAACCCACATACTGAACGTTGATGTCATGTGAAATATAATATAACTATTTTTAACTTTTCTTTTCTGCAGGGTGAGAGTTGAGTTTTACATCAATGAAAGATCTTTCAAGGAACGATTACAGCTTTATTTTATTAAAAACCAGAGATCAAGTAAGACTATTACTTTCCAAACATGTGCAAATAGACCATTTTCCGTACACTGCGAGAATCACGCGTTATGCGTGAAATCGAACGTAAAAACAGGACAAACAAAGGTCATAGCGTCGTAGTCGCGTCAAACATCGCGTGGGATTCGACAAACGCGAAAGTATTTTGGGGACATTTCCATGCTTAATAATGTGCTGTATACATTTGATGATAGGCAATTTCGATTAAGTAAGGGTATTCAGAAGCAATATTCCTCTGTCGAAGATCGGCCGGTCAATGTAAGCTGCGAAATAAAGAAATTCTAGTTCAAAATCAAATCGTTCGATTTTTGCGGCAGACGTTCGACGCGCGTCTTTCATGCATCTCGCGAGATCTCGCAATTGTTCGGAAAATCACCTATTGTGAAAGTGCTATATACAATCAACATGAAGCATTTAATCGAGTATAAACAATTTATTTATAAGTCACAAGAGATTCATACTATAGGTCACATGGGAGCCATACTGAATGCAATTTAATTACCAAGGATATTTTGAGGAGGAAGTAACCTGACAGGACACATGGTTGACATGATGCACTATCTGAATCTAATTAAACTTGACCTCTTCCTGACATGCTGACGAATTTGAATAAATATTGAAAAAACACATCTTGTTCCAACATTATCAAATTATTACGAATTTTTTTGAATAACGAACTTGTCAATCTAAGTTGTTTTTCTCTTTCAGGTTTGCGTATTAGAATTTTTAACTTTTTTCTTATGGCTGTATCATGCACACTTTACTGTGTACGAGTTATATTAGATGATCATACCAATGCAACTTGGTAAGTATTAGGAAACAACATGAATATTTTTATGTGTACCTTCTTGTGTGATGTGATATATACTGTTTTCACCACCAGACTTCCTTGCCCAAATTTTTCTGTACTTTTTTTCTTATATTCTTCAATATTTCTGGAAATGAACCCCAATTTTGGAGCCAACAGACAAAATTTGAATCAATTTTTAGTTTTTACTGAAAAAATTTTGCTATTTTTGTCCTAATATTCTGAAGGAAAATTCTGAAGGACTGTATACTGTAGAATACTTTATTTTAGCTGGAATTAATTTTCGCCGAAAAGACATTTTGAGTGTTTTGTATGGAATTTATTTATACTGATTTTTGACAAGTTGAATGTAAAATATACGAAAAAAGGTATATTCACAGGATTTTATTTTCACTGAATCATTCCTTCAGCGAAAATAGCGAAAATTAATTCCAAGCGAACATAAAGTATTTTACAGTATCTAAGTTGGACAGAGTAATCTGCTATTATAGGACTCAAATATGTAGCATGGACAAATACCATATCCTACTTTAAAATCTAACAAAATTGATTTTTCTGAGACATCTGCCAACAGCTGCGTCTTACTAATGATGCTTCGTGTTGCTTTTCAGTCATGGATGCACTCCAGACAATGAGACTGACACAGATGAGCCAAACTGGTAAGCAAGAATTATAATAAAGTTAGAGAATTTTACATTTCATTGTAATATTGAACCTAGAGGATATATCTCATGAGTGACCCTACAATTCTCGGGGGTGGACATCCGGGCATTTTCATCACCTGGAAACCAATCATGGTGAAAACAAAAAAACAGAAAACTCCCAGAAAACTGTACTTTGGGATAGTTGTTGCAACCCTCCAAAACTGTGTAACTAGATTATTCTTACATGTGCAAAATATATAAATTTGGTTGCTCAGAATTACCTCAAATTTGGGTTTGTGCGGTTTCCTCGAATTTAGCTGTTTTCATCAGCTCTTCGACCGGCGTGCTACAGCAGCTTACACAAAGCCCATAGAAATACATAGGACAGCGGTGCATGTCTTAGCAATGTAGAACGTTCTGGGACGTAGCTTCGCCCGTGAATATCTGATTTATTCAATGAGTGTAGTAATTTTCAATTCTTTAGTAGAGTAGAGATGACTGATTTGGAAAGAAATATTTGAGATAGTAAATATCTTCCTTCCTTGCCATCATTATGAAGCTAGTATACCCATGTATGTATCTTGAAATTTGCCATGCTGTTTTATTTTCTTCTAAATCTGTTCCACCTATTAGTATATAGTATACAGAACTGGTGTAGCAATACATGTACATTATTTGAAAAGATATTTTATATCATATGAGAGAAAAGACAAGACTTTGAAAATGTAAAATTTTTCATTACAGGATAGCTATACTATGGGTGAATCGTCCTGTGTGGTTGTGGGCATTGCAAGTTACCATAGCGATTATTATGTTGTTACAAACTGTACTAATGCTGTATTTGCAGTACAAGGTAGGAATGATCTCATACACTATCAAATCAAATACAAGAAATATTATTTGTACCATTCAAGTATATCTGTTTTAACCTTTGACTCTAAAATAAAAATCAACATCTTTAGAAATTATGGAAAAATTAAAGACATTTATTGTGCGTTCTTTGTTGTTTCATCATAGCATTTAAGTGCAATTGTTCATCAGTCTATCCCACAATGCAAGTGTTTGTGAGTCTATCCCACAATGCAAGTGTGCATTAGTCTATCCCACAATGCAAGTGTTCACCAGTTTATCCCACAATGCAAGTGTTCACCAGTTTATCCCACAATGCAAGTGTGCATTAGTCTATCCCACAATGCAAGTGTTCACCAGTTTATCCCATAATTCAAGTGTGCATCAGTCTATCCCACAATGCAAGTGTTCACCAGTTTAACCCATAATTCAAGTGTGCATCAGTCTATCCCACAATTCAACATAATGCACATAGTCTAGTATAAGTAGAAGAAGGGATATAATGCTTTTATATGTTATTAAAATGAACTAAATGAACATTTTTTCTTTTTTTAGGGTAATATATGTCAGCAGTTGATGAGTATAACCCGTTTTTTGGAATTTTTAAACACAATACCTTTTATTATCACTGTAAGTATCCCCAATCATGGTATTACTTAATAACTAAATATTATTGAAACTAAAAACTACATGTAGTTTGGAGATTCTTTAATTTTAATTATTTTTTACTTTTTTATTATTTATTTCCCATTGTTGTTTTTTTTAAGTTTTGGTAACCACAAAAGCCTACTTTGTGATCAGAACAAAGTTGAAACGTGCAAAAACAGTAAACAAATATCTAAAATAATTTAATAAAGGAAAAATAAAATAAAAAAAAATTTCCCAACAAAAGATCTTATTTTTATCAGATTAACTTGTACTTTTCAATTTGAACATTTTTATATAATGTTTTCTGTAAATTCTCAATGTTAAAAATGTGGAAATGAATGATTTTAGAACACAACTATTTTGGGTGAGTTGATTGTTGATGTGAGTGAAATAAGAAGGATAATTATTTTCATGATTTTTAATCATTACTATGCCTGTAATATGGAAAGTGACGAGTCTCATGAAGTGTAATAATTATTCATTATTATTTGTAATTTGAATGTTTTCAGTAATTTTCATTCAATTGACTTACAATTGGTTTGTTATGATCATTACTGAGTTGGCGATGTGTTTGTTTCCTAATTTTTGATGTGATGCAATTGAGTTTATGAATGAGCAGTAAATTGTTATGTATAACTTTAATAAGTTTTCATTTTAAAATATTTAAATATTTTTCACAGCTGTTTTGGCCACCTTTGCGGAACCTTTTCATACCTGTATTTCTGAATTGTTGGTTGGCACATGCTATCCTGAAAAATATGCTGGTAAGTCATTTATCAGCAATTGAACTCTTCGTTTGTTGCTGAATACTAGTTTATTAGAAATGGTCTCGCATTGTCACAGATGCTCAGAAAGTGCAACATTTTTTTGGAGAAGGAGGTTTTAGTTGAATTTCTCACTTTTTTTCTCATATTTTGAAGGCACCACACACACAACAGAACATTTTGCATGAACATTTTAGTGGGATATACATTGGTTGAAACAGACTAGTTTATCTGGAATTGATTATACATGATAGACATTTCTACCTAGTGTACCTGTTTTTATATGTGAAATAGTGTTTTCTCATTTAAATAGTTTTCTCATTTAAATATTTCTTTCATATGGGAGTTCCTTATTGTTTCATTTTTCAGTGTAGAGTAAATGGTGTTGAATAGAAAGATTACTGCAGGATGGTGTATAATGAATACTAAAATCAATAACCATTTCTATTTTAATAATCAGAAATTTGTTTTGTCTAATGTTGATTGAATCACACATAGGTCATGGACATAGTTACTGGAAATGTAAGTTTGAATTACACAAAGGTCAACTCAATGACAAGTGCTGAATTACACAAAGATCAACTCAATGACAAGTGTTGAATTAT